AGTTGAGGATGCTGGTAATGATGGTAATGAAGACAATGAACATTTTGAGGATGAAGATGATTTTCTTCCATATATATCTGAATTGAGTGATAATGAAGATGAGGAAACTGTCGAGGCGAGAAAGAAAATGAAGTCTTTGCATGAGGCAACTTCGAGATCAAAAAATGCTAGGAAAGGTGTTAAGTATGGTCGTAGTCAACCATCAGCAGGTATTTCATCAACTTTTACTTTTTTTAGTTCGTTAATGAGTTAATGAGTTAATGGAATACATAGTAACATATATGCTTTGCCTGCAGGAACTAGTCATGAAATTCCCTCATCTTCAACTGGTCACAATGATCTTGGTCTTGAGGATTCATTAAGCTCAGATGAGGATATCGGCTGCATTTCAACAAGTGAAGAGGATGGAAGTGAAGTTGAACACACTAGGAGAAGGAAGAGTAAGCACAAAGTTTTCCGAGGAACAGATGATGGCAATGTACAGATTGAGTTAGGCATGGTTTTTCTAAACAAAGCTGAGTTTAAAAAAGCTGTTGATAAATTGAGCATTATGCAAAGGAGGCAAATCAAGTGGGTCAAGAATGATAAGAAGAGACACAGAGCTATTTGTAATGAAAGGCACTGTGATTGGAAGATTTTGTTAGCGTGGGATAAGTCAACTGAGACATGGATGGTCAAGACATTTAACAGTGAACACACGTGTGAATGGGGATCGACCAATCAGAGATGTAATTCAACATTTGCAATGAACCATTTATTGAAGACTAAGGGTTTTACTGCTGTTTATTTGAAAAGTGGTGATATTTTTACTGAAATATGGGATGAGTTGAACGTGGAGTTGACTCAAGTCCAGTGTAGGATTATTAAAATGAGGCTGAGAAAGACTTTCGAAGGGGATCATTCATTGGAATACAGCAAGCTTTTTGACTATGCTGCATAACTGAGAAAAAGAGATCCAGGAGCCACTGTTTTGATTTATGCACCGAGGCCACTACCTGAACTGAACCCTATTTTCTTGAGGATGTATGTGTGTTTTAGTGCAATGAAAAAGGGATTTATTGCTAGATGTAGGAGAGTCATTGGTTTAGATGGAGCTTTTCTCAAAGGACCACACAAAGGGGAATTACTTACTGTTGTCGGTAGAGATGCGAATGACCAAATGTACCCAATTGCATAGGGTATAGTGGAAGTTGAGAAGGAAGAAAGTTGGTTGTGGTTTTTGGAAGAACTTAAATATGATTTGCAAATAAGAGATGGTGATGGTTTTGCTATAATATCTGACCAACAAAATGTATAATGTACTTTATTTTCATTTATATATATAATTTAGTGTACTTTTCAAGTTTCAGTTATACTGTCATACGTGCATGGTGTGCATGGTGTGCATGGTGTGCATGGAATAAGTTTATATATGCACTTTTTTGATCTCTTAATTATTATTACTGCAGTTTATTGGTCCCTAAACTTTTGTTATTGCACTTTTTTGGTCCTCCAACCTTTTATTGTTGCAGTTTCTTGGTCCCTGATCTGATAATGTATTGTAATTTTTTTATTATAGTTATAGTTGATAATGTCTTAGTTAAATGCAAGGGTTGATAAATGCCGTTGCAGCCCTTTTTCCAAATGCAGAACACAGACATTGTGCTAGGCATAGATATGCCAACTTCAGGAAGAAACACAAAGGGAAGTGTTGACGTGCCAAAATGGATGGAGTCGCCATCTATCCAAATGAGGTGGGATAGATCACCAAGGCCTTTGTAGAAATTGACTAGGTTCGGAGGGTCGGTTAAGCATGGGGAAGGTATTAGGCAGCCCATAACTTCCATATAAACATGGTTACCACATACTTTAATTTTGGGGAATTTCAATTTTTATGAAAATAATAATAATTACCAAGAACATAAAACAAAAAAACAAGAAGTAAAATAATAATAAAAAAAAA